CTTGCCCTTGAGGTTATTCATAAAGGGTGAGTTTTTCTTATTGTGACTGTTGAGTTATCGTGTATCGTATCTGAAGGTACGCTGTCACATCGTTGTTAATATCCGAGAATCGAAAGCCGCTGTTGAACTTCTCTTGATTTCTCGATGTTTCTGAAATGACGCATGCTCTGTTAGGAATTAATGATGAATAGGATACACGCTAACTATTGAAGGCACATCACCGCGGTTCGGCGTGCATGTTCTTTAATTGTTAATAACGATGACACATTCACTCATTATATTACCAATTTTTTTTTTTTTTTTTTTTTAGAAAAAAATGTTTACTTTTAATGATAACGACGATATACTTTCGATGTGCAAAAAAGTCGTCAAAATCGTCGAAAACCAGTCTGACACATCTATTATAAGAGGGACAGACGACGGGGCGGAGTATATATAATTTGCTTTATTAGAGAGTCAAGATCGTGATTCAATGAGAACTGGATAAACGAAATAGGTTATATATAGTCCGCCGCCATTCGAGAACTTAAATGTGTTGTCTGTGACGAAGACAAAGCTCAGGCACGATCGATATTCTGTATTCCTTTTCTTTAATTTTACGGATTAAGCAATAGATTTAGCTAAAACATCACATTTCTCTACTATCTTAACCGACAGATCCCATCTTCTCTTAATCATCCTTCAACTAGTTTATGAGGATCTCCGCGCATGATCTCTCGATCTTTACATGTGCCTGGCTCTCCTTCGTCAGGTACATTTAATAAAAGTTAGCTAATTGTGAGGGAGAAATTAGTTTTTTTTATAATATAGAAGTGAAACTTGCTTACAAAAGTTTTTTTTTTTAAAATTAGATGAATACTTACTCTGGTTCCGAGCTTTCAGCTATTATAAATTACATTGTTTGACTTCGACGTCTGCTTGGACTATTCGTTTCACCCATCCCATGGCACAAATACACCCAGAACAGGATACACCTTCAGAAGCAAAGGTAAGGGCTCTC